TCGGAAAATCTGGTCACAAATGAGAGGCGTCACTGGTAAAAAAAAAAAAAACAAGATGTCATTCTATTCTGACCCACAAGCAATTTTGTGGCTGCTAATAATAACTATTCTGGAGGACAGAAATGCATTTGTGTGCATCTCGGCCCATTCGTGCAAAGTTGAACCTTACGCATCTTCACCACGTCACCACACATAGCATCAGCCCTCGCTGAAAATGAATGACTTCTGGTGGCTTTGAAAATGGATGTCAGTGTGAACGCCCTCACGGCTCAGAGAGAGCTCTTCAATTCAACTAATAACAGTATTGAAGTTTCCACAAGTGGCTTTACTGTGTAGGACAACAATCACCCACTCTGACACACACACACACACACACACACTCTCTCTCGCGCTCTCATAATCTCCACGTCTTTCTGAAGACTGTGATTACAGAGCACAGCAAAGATAGTAATCGGATCACATTGAACTGCTGTGTGACGAACCGCCTCCGTTAATTCTGGAGCACACAAGAGAGACTTCCATACGCCAGGTACTAATATGTATAAATCTGTTCTTACTGAAAGCAAAATAATATTTCTGAGATTTTGGGAATGTTGGGAGAAATTACTGATCTAATACGTAACAGAGTAGGATCTTACTTGGTTAGTACTGGTTGAGCTAGCAGTGGGCGTGGATACATGCTCCGCCTTCCAGGCCTTGTCTCCGCCCCCTGACGGAGGCCCGGCCTCCACCCACTCGTCCTCTGAGTCCTAAAAACAAATAAGGATTGACACAGAAAAAATATAATTTTGTACTAAAACAATCACAAGAAATATAATCATGCAACCTGAAATACCTGGAGAAAAGAAAATAGCTTAAAGCACACGGTTAAGTGTGGATTAAAGGAATGGTTCACCCATTTGCTCGCCAGTGGATGCTCTACAGTGAATGGGTGCCGTCAGAATGAGAGTCCAAACAGCTGATAAAAACAACACAATAATCCACAGCACTCCAGTCCATCAGTTAACATCTGGAGAAGACAAAAGCTGAAACTAATCCAGCATTAAGATGTTTAAACCTCAACCGTTCAAACCATAATTCATAATAAATCTATAATCCATAATAACGCTTCTTCTAGTTTTTGTCTTCTCCAGATGTTAACTGATGGACTGGAGTGCTGTGGATTACTTGTGGATTATTGTGTTGTTTTTATCAGCTGTTTGGACTCTCATTCTGACGGCACCCATTCACTGTAGAGCATCCACTGGCGAGCAAATGGGTGAACCATTCCTTTAATCCACACTTAACCGTGTGCTTTAAGCTATTTTCTTTTCTCCAGGTATTTCAGGTTGCATGATTATATTTCTTGTGATTGTTTTAGTACAAAATTATATTTTTTCTGTGTCAATCCTTATTTGTTTTTAGGACTCAGAGGACGAGTGGGTGGAGGCTGGGCCTCCGTCAGGGGGCGGAGACAAGGCCTGGAAGGCGGAGCATGTATCCACGCCCACTGCTAGCTCAACCAGTACTAACCAAGTAAGATCCTACTCTGTTACGTATTAGATCAGTAATTTCTCCCAACATTCCCAAAATCTCAGAAATATTATTTTGCTTTCAGTAAGAACAGATTTATACATATTAGTACCTGGCGTATGGAAGTCTCTCTTGTGTGCTCCAGAATTAACGGAGGCGGTTCGTCACACAGCAGTTCAATGTGATCCGATTACTATCTTTGCTGTGCTCTGTAATCACAGTCTTCAGAAAGACGTGGAGATTATGAGAGCGCGAGAGAGAGTGTGTGTGTGTGTGTGTGTGATATTTGTCTGCTGCATCCGTCTGCTAGACAGGGCTGTGCGTGTGCGCTGAGGTGATAAAGGTCTGTCAGGGTTAAGGCAGACTAAGGCAGATGTGTGCACAGAGAAAACCCAACACAGCTGGCAGAGAGATATCAGACACAGTGTGTATACTGAGATCTGTGGACACATCAGTGACTATGTTTGGAATAGCAAACTACTCGTATATTTCTATATTTAACAACCTGAACGACCTCCTATATTTAATCAAATGTGCAGTACGTCAAAAACTGCAGCATAAGCATTTATGTATTTATTTATGAGATGACCTCAATGGATTAAACGTACAACACATAGTGATACATAGTGAAACAGCATACTACTGTTTTATATATTTTAAAAGTAAAGTGCCACATGCTAGCATTTCAGTCCAAACTGTCAAATGTCTCCCCCAGTAATATTTTAGTATTATTTACATTCTATTATAATATTTATAAAATCTTTAAATTAACTTTATTTTTATTTTTTCAGTTTTCATTTACATTTTAGTAATTTTTTTTTGGTAAATTTATGTGCTTTTGTCATTTTTTATTAATTGTTTTTTAAGTTTCTATTTAGCTTTAAATTTTACACAATTATTAAAATGAACTTTTATTTTTATATTTTAAGTTTTCATTTACATTTATTTATTTATTTTTTACAATTTTGTTATGTGCTTTTGGCACTTTTTACGAATTGTTTTTCTTTTTTAAATGTTTCTATTTAGCTTTAATTTATGCAATTTTTAAATGAACTTATTTTTACATTTTAATTTTAATTTTTTTACTTTTTTAAGTGCTTGTTATTTTTATTAATAATAGTTTTTCATATTTATACTTAGCTTTAATTCATTTTTATATTATATTATATATAATTTTAAAATGAACTTTTATTTTTTATTCATTTTATATTAATCATTTAATATTTTATAATTTTATGATGCACTTTTGTAATTTTTATTAATCTTATGTTTTTGCATACATCTATTTAACTTTAATTTATTTAAGTTTTAGTAATTTCATTACTTCAACTTTATTTCAGATCGTTGCCAAGGCAACATTTCTAATTTTCAAGTTTATGTTTGTCATCTAAATTTTTTTTTTTTTATTTTACTTCAGCTTTCTTTAAATTACCAAATTTTTTTATCGAAATATTATTTTTTTTTTTTAGAATTTTAGTTAACAATAACCACTGGTCTCCCCACACAAACAGAAAGCAATCAAAACACCAAAGAGGAAGAGAGGAAATAATAAAATAAGGAAATAATGTTGAATTTTATTACAGCAACTTCAAACACATTTTTAAAGGACAGAAAATAAATCAAATGCAACAAAATAGAGCGGCTGATCGCGTCTGTTATCAGCTGAGGACAGAGTTGACCATCCTGTTAAACAGAGTGATGATCAGTGAAGTTTATATTCACCTGCTAATCATCATTAGGAGGAAAAACATCAACCCTGACATTATTCAGAAACAGAGAGAAAGCTCTAATATAGAGTTTTTCATTGACTGCCAAACAAATTTATAGGTGATGCATATCATCATTTACAATGCTTCAACACCAGATTATCGGACAAAAATGAAAACGTATTTGCTTTTTTGAAGGTCAGGGCACTCAGAGAGCATGAGAATTTACTGTAAAAGGGAGGAAACAATATTATCTGTTCCACAACGCTCAAGGCATTTCCTCTAATTTGTACCTTTTATATAATAGCTCATATTCTATAAACAAAAATTGCAAAATGTTAATCATTAATTAATCACAACCATTATCACCCAAAATTGCACATGACCATGTAACATCAGCTAAAAGTCAAGTCCTGTTTTGTTCCAGGATAAACCATAAATCTATAAATGCATTGTGGACTGTTTGCGCCCCCTGAAGGCAGTTCAATGTCAGCTACAGAAGTAATCCAGACTGACAGAGTCACGACTGATTGATATCAACCAGTCAGATTAACCACTGTTTGGCCAATTAACAGAAATGCGTCTGTTCCAAAAGAAATAAATAAAAATACCGACAGCTTTTACAATGCAAGAGAACATGCTTGTGTTTTGTGCATGATTTGAATATCGTGCAAAATAAATTATGAATTCATTTCAATTCTGAGAACATCTCATTTAGTGTGATTCGATTATATCATCACTTTACGCTGGACATCACTTTTTAGAGAACGCTTATAATTCATAATGAAATATATGATCTTAATGAGAAAAAAGCTTGAAACATGAGCTTGGCTTTCTTACTCAAAATAAATGAAAAAGAACAATTATTTAAAGAATAAATATCTTTCTTAAAATAAATGACATTTTATATATTCCATTATAAAATGCAATGACACATCAGCATTTTTCACTTGATGCATCGTAAACAGTGTTCAATCAGTATTTATTATACATACTTACTGCATACTCTATCCTCCTGAGACCCAGGCATAGACTTTTGTCCTCTCTAGAGGACATTATATTTGAGTGAATTTCTCTGAGACCATACATGCAACAGATTTAAGTCTAAATGATATAATAAATGATCTGTGGAGTATTTTGAGCTGAAACTTCACAGACACATTCTGGGGACACCAGAGACTTATATTACATATTGTAAAAAGGGGCACAATATGTCTCCTTTAAGGAACATTTATGAATTCACACGGGAGAGAAAGCTTTCAGCTGCCATCACTGCAGGAAGAGTTTCACGTGTAAAGAGAGCACATTCAGGGCTTTTTCAGAGATCTCACACGTTTGGAGGTTTGATCATAAACACTCTCCTCCTCGGTCTTTAAATGTGACTGATATTTGCAGAATAATTCAATTTCGCACTTATGGGGTTTCAGATCGGAATATGAATCTTTGTTACGAAGCAGGGCATCATTTTCATACGTGTCTTCTGTCGAGGACACCAGGACAAACATCAGTTAATCAGACACAACAGGTCAATAGGGAAAGAGATTATAAATCAATATTCCTGTGAAATATGAGATATTAGGACCCAC